AKYCCATKWTACAAACTGAATGGAAAGATTTTATCTTCCTTAGAAAAAGTAAGGATGTTAATGGGCATTCGCACATGGAGCTCTCTATATCGATCCAAAGTGAAGTGGATTTATTATTAACCCAGTCAGCGATGACGCGCAAGTGAGCACTAAGTTGATATTTTCGAATATCTGGGAGGTCTAAACCTCCTCTTTCTGAAGAGCGACATAGTGTAGCTATTTTAAGGCGTGCCTTTCTTTTTGACCATATAAAGGAGCTAAAACAGCCATTTAGATGTTTTACAGCTTTACATGAGAAAACTACTGGGACCATATGTGTTTACTCATTATGTTAAATTTCATTCACTCTTGTTTATTTGAGCAAGAAAAATACACAAATAAGTGATTCGATTTTTAGATGTACAGTCTTCTAATAAACTAGTAAACTGCTAATTTGCAGTCCTTGTTACTGGTTAGGGTTTAAAAAAGAAACTTTCAATAAAAATAAACTTAAAACAACAACAACAACAACAACAACAACAACAACAACAACAACAACACACACAGAGAGAGAGAAACCTAATAAAAGCAAGAGACAAGGATATGTAAAATAAATCACAAATTAAAATAGAATAATAAACTGACTAAAAGCTAACATAAGCATCACTGTAGCTAAAATGAGCAAAAAAGTAGCTAAAGTCTAAAACGATGCCAAAATTTAAATGTAGCAAAATTGTAGCTAAAAGCTAAAAGTAGAAAAACAGTAACTAAAAGTTAACTAAGCATAACAGCAGATAAAAGCTAAAGTTAGCAAAACTATTGCAACATAATGATCAGTACTGAAAGTGAAACAAAGCCACACTTTTGCTAAAACATACAAGTAAACAAATCAAGAGAAAAAATGAATGTAACAAAACTGTAGCTAAAAAGTAGTAAAAGCATGTTGAAGTATTTAAAAAAAACAATGTTTTTGAAAAAACTGAAAAAAATCCCAGTGTATTTTTATAGGGAAAATATTGTAAATAAAGTTAAATAATAGGCTATTAAAATTAATAAAAGTGGCGTGAATCAGCATTCATTCTATTACAGGCACATGCATAAACTCGTTAGTGGTCTTTATTTCAACTGAGAATGTAAGTTCTAAAAAAATCAATTAATGATTTTATTAAAAAACAACAAAATACATGCATTTCAATTAATGTGCTGCTGCTCTCCAGTCTTCAATAACTGCTATAAACTGTCACTGAAACAAGACTAAGAAAACATTTAAAAATCAATTTTTACAAATAATAAAAAGATAAAAGCGTAATAAATTATGCTGTATCTTTTCAGTGTTTTTAATTATTTATTTCATTTAATTAAAAACAAAACAAATGTCAAGACAAAACAAACATGATAGCATTAAATGAAAAGGAGCAGAAAGAAAAAAAATCTTATAAGAAGAAAAAATCAAACAAACAAACAAACAAAACATGGTTTAAAAGAAAAAGGTTTGCTGGATAATTTCTTGACATGAGTCTCAAGTTTCCACAGATACAAATAGGAATATAAAACTAAATCTTAAAAGTATTATTATTTCATTTGTTGTGCCATTACTTGTGCCCATTTTAATTTTACCTAAAAATCTTGTAGTGTTAAACAGTTGAGTGTTGGCGCCATCTGGTGGTCAAAACTGAACATATACACAATTTCTTTATTTATTTTTTGTTATAAACTCGAGGCATGTAGTTCCATTAAAATTAGATTTACAAATCCAACCAAATGCATACGTAATAGATAAATAATATTAACGCCCTAACATGTGTTTTTACCATCTAAACGTGATTACCTTGTTCAACAACAGTGTTCACTACGGAAGCCGAAAAGAGTGAAACAAAACACCCGGCTCGATCTTAAAGGCATGCAGTCTGTCACATACAAGCTAGCGTAGAAAACACACACATCCAGAGATTGCATTTTTTGTATATTAGGCCGAAGAGATTGCTGTCGTATTTTATTTAATGTTAGCTTTTACAACGTAGCTGTATTTTTTGCCTGTAGAATCACATAAATCTACCACGACGGACAGAAAAGGTAAAAAACCGTTCGCGCTACTTTATATGATGCTAACCAGACATGCTACGTGCTGTTGCTGCCACCCTTTGGGCTTGGCTGAAATGCGGCTGTTCTGTGATGCACACCGTTAAAATGTGTTCCCTGTTGCATTGGTCACACAGTCAGATTTTTTAAAGTAGTGTTGTGTTGCAGCGTGGCGTGTGTGTAACTGATGCTGGATTAGTGTTTGGCTACCTGTGACGCGGCTACGTGCTAAATACGTTAGCGACGCTAAGCTAACGTCGTCTGGGCCTCATGTAGAAAAACGCTCATTAGGTTATAATTGATGAATGCTAATTATTAGCAACAACTAGTGATAAAAGTCGACCGATTTTATGGTTCGTCGGTTGCCTGTGCAGGTCTGTGTAAGTCAAAGCATCCGATGGACGAGAAAAAAAACGATTTGTTTTCTTTATGTATTTAGGCTCATCACTTTGTTATTATATGCATTTTCAAAATTTGTAGTACTTTGACTACATTAGACCAGTGAAGTGAAATATGTGATTACATTAACCATAGAGTTATGGCCGTATTGGGACAACTCACAGCTACTATCATATCAAAATAATGTAAATTGATTGATTTATAGGTGTTATTTTAGAGGTAAATATTTGCTCACTGTGCTAGCCATCTTGAATTGAATTGTCTCCAGTAGTTTATGAGTTAATGATCATCCAATCCTTATTTTTGAGTGTTCATTAAAATGTTTCAGGTGCTTCATGACATATTTGCTAACATACACAGGATAAACACTGCCTCTGTGTTTTGGTGGTTGGTGATAGCAATCATGTCCCCTGTTTACTTTTTGCTTTCTCCATAATACCTTTACAAACCATTTATAGATTTTAAATTCACTTGTCATCTAACAGAATCGCTCAAGTTGCTGAGTTTATTCAGACAATACAACAGCTCTGTTGTCATTACTGCGCAGCTTGCTGGGTTTGAAGTCGTCATGTGTCTTTGAGCACTAGAAATGTGTGCGTGCCTTTCAGACAGCTCATGGTTGTTGTGTCTCTTTAGGATGGAGTGGCAGCCGGATGAACAGAGTCTGCAGCAGGTGCTTCAGCTCCTGAAAGACTCCCAGTCCCCAGACACAGCGACTCAGAGAGCCGTTCAAGAAGTATCCTTTACCTCTGACTGTGTTAGTGAGGGTGAGAAGGAAAAGTGTGAGATATTACCTCCTCCACAGTAGCTTGTACGACATGGGGTGAGAGCAGAAACTGTGTCTGTGTTTCCACGTGTACCGAGCTGACTATGATTCTGCATTAATTTGTGTTAAACAGAAGCTGAAGGTTTTCAAGTATGTAGAAATATTTGTAATTCTTAACAGATCCTGCAGAAACTGGAGCAGTTCAACCAGTTTCCTGACTTCAACAACTATCTCATCTTTGTCCTCACGAGCCTCAAATCTGAGGGTACGTTTCTGCACTCTGAACCAGGAATATCAACAAGAAATTCTCTGTAACTGTGCTCGTCTTCTGCTGAAATAACCGTTTCTGCCTTCCTCTTGCTCACATTTTAAAATTCTCCTGTATCTGCTCTCTGTGTTTCCCTCCCCCTGAAGACGAGCCCACTCGCTCCCTGAGCGGTCTGATTCTGAAGAACAATGTCAAAGCTCATTACCAGAACTTCCCTTCCAACGTGGCCGACTTCATCAAACGAGAATGCCTCAACAACATTGGAGATCCTTCGCCGCTCATCAGAGCTACAATCGGTGTGTGTGTTTGTGTGTGTGTGTATGTGTGTGTGTAACAGGAAATATGTGGAAAGAAAACACTGGAGTAAGCTTTTCATTTCGTAGTAAGTGAGTCAGATTATCATGTAGGAGGCTGAATTTTAGCAAGTAAAGTTGCTGTGTGGGTGACAATGCAGTATTGTTGCAGATGTTTTAAATAATAATGGTGCATTTGTTACTCCTGGGAGGTAATAGATATTTATTAAACTTTTCTGCTTTGTCATGAAGGCATTTTGATCACAACAATAGCCTCTAAAGGAGAGCTGCAGACCTGGCCGGAGCTGTTGCCTCAGCTTTGTAATCTACTCAACTCAGAAGACTACAACACCTGTGAGGTAAAGCACGACCTTTCTAATAAGAATTTACAGTCTAAACTTGTTCTTTGTCTTCTGACAGTTTTTCTGATGTGTTCAGGGTTCGTTTGGAGCACTGCAGAAGATCTGTGAGGATTCATCAGAGCTGTTGGATAGCGATGCTCTAAATAGACCTCTCAACATCATGATCCCTAAGTTCCTTCAGTTCTTCAAACACTGCAGCCCCAAGATCAGGTTAGTGGACACAGTTATTCTGCTGTCGGAACCAGTTTCTGATCCTCTCAGTTGAGTCTTCCTGTTAAAACAACTTTTTACTCCTTCAGGTCTCACGCCATCGCCTGTGTGAATCAGTTCATCATTGGCCGAGCTCAGGCTCTGATGGATAACATCGACACTTTTATTGAGGTGAGCAGTTAAGCATTTTGTTTTCATAGAACCTCCAATACAGGGCTAAGCAGGGCTCCACACAACAATTGTTTAGGTTGTCTGAGAAGATCCCGCCTCCCGGTTGTCCGGTGGACAACAAAGAAAAAAAGACCTCGATTAAAGTTTTGCCGTTGCGGGTGTCCGTCATTTGTTATTCATTTCTTTATTTCTTTAAAAACTACAACATAAATTCAACAAACATCAAAAAGGCAAATCATAAATTATTTTATTTATTCAATTATAATACGTTCAATTAAATCCATAAAATCATCCATAAAGTTGGGGGGTAGTACTATACTCGGATAAATATTTTTACTTATGTATTTTAACTGAAATATCAGCTTCATTCACAAAATGACTGAGTCCGGAAATGAGACCTCGTCGTAAAAAGCAGTTGAAGCGAGCTTACCTGTGACACTCCTCCGTGCTTCAGAGTGAGATAATAACAGATCCAGGTAGGAGACATGATGTGAAAAAAAGGGGGAAAAGCAGTCCTGCACCTTAGTAATGATAACGAACTAATGACATTAGCGTGTGACCGGGCCGCTCCTCGAACAACAACAAACATGTTCGTCTGTAGTGGCTGCCGTCTACCGGTGTTCTGAAAAAGTTTGTATCCCTGAAAAAAAGTTTCCCCACCAGAGGGGGCGCTCGCGAGTAG